AAAAAAAAACATGACTTCTTTGGCTGATTAAAAACTGGCTCGACGCTCAAAACGTTTCCTATTTTACACCGCAGAAGACTCAAGGTCAACAGAATGATACCAATTGAGGTAACCTCAAAACATTTACCTTGTTTCTCAGTCTCTGTCTCTCCTCTTCAAGGCTTTTGCTCTCATCAAAGCTAGATGAATGGGCAAGTAATAATCTTGCGGGTTTCCTAAGCTCACTTTGTTGGCCGAGGATTTCATGTGAACCGTACTTAGAAACCGTAAATTGTACCTGGAATAATTAACAATAATGATAATTGAATTTTACTACAAATGTCTGAGCATGAAGTATTGATATTATTCAACATGACTTATGGTAAAATGTACAGATTGATTTTCTTACCCTGTATCTGTCAGTGAGGTACAGCCGAAACGGTGTGCTTATGAATGCTGTCTTTATGGCTTCATATGCATCATTCGTCTGTGCTGAACCAATAGGCACTTGGTGAAGCTGAAAAGAGTATTCTATTATATAGTACAACTTAGTTTGGAAATCGTTGACATACTCGAGCGACATTACAAAGATATTGTTTCACAACATCAGGAGCGGTAAATAAGTCCACAGCAAAGCGAGTGAAACCAAATCTCTTCATATCTCCTGTTAAAGTCGTCTTCAACGAAGATGTGTCAACCTAAAAACCTTCGTATCGGTTCTTTCTGCTTTGTTTAAGAGGAAAATTTAATTTTTCCTGAGAATAAGATTAAAAATTTCCCACGATCTTAAGCAAAATTGAGCCTAATTATTCATTCATCAAGTAGTAAATCAAAGTCAAGTGGAAATACCTGTGCAGGAGGAATAACAGTTGAGTTGAGCTTCCATTTGTGTCTTGCGTCGGTTAGGATAGCTTCGTCTGATTTACTACCAAATATGAACATAGGCAGATCCCTCACCGCTAACAAATTTTCAAGTAACATTGCCGATTCAGAATTGGGCACTGTCATCTAAAATGCAAAAACTGAGCAAACATCACTACTTTCTCCAGCTTCACCATACATGAAGGATAGGCACATATACGGGATGTGAGAATCTATCGCGATTCTCTTGGTACCACCGCCATGCTTCATCGGCCATGTTGCAACGCAAGTTTTCGAGAGCACGAAGGCGTTTATCCATAGCCTGTTCAATCGACCTTTCACGTTCACACAAACCTGCAGATAGAAGAAGTAAGAAAACATGTTCCACTAACAGAGACGCAAACCTTCATCTGTTTTTAGCGGAAAATTGCTGAATAATTGAAAAACAAAATGTTAGACTTAAAAAGCCAACCTAAGGAAAAAAA